AAGTAATTCTAATAACAAACTGAGGAAGTGCTGGCGTCAGTCTCTTTTTATAGTGATTTTTGTACTTTTCCAGAGTCACACAGCAACTATGTGGTGAAGTTAAGAGTCAGACACTGGAGGTCTCCTCCACATTCTAGGCCATTAACAATTATGGCATATTTTTTCTGAAAGATAGAGAGGTCCACATGATTTAGACTAAATAATTAGTTAAGCTCACCAATCAGTTAATTAGGTTTAAATACATTTTGTGTATGTGGTTTGCACAATTTTAAAACTAACACCAATGTACAAATGAAATACAAACAACAATAAGACCAAGGAAATTCAAACTAACAATGTTAATTTAATCTTAATGATGTTATTCTGCTAAACCTAAAATCAAAGTTGGCTTTAGTAACAGAATGATGTAAGTTGAGCCCACTTTTATATTAAATCAGTTTCTGAATTAGCCTTTAATAATACTGATGAGAGATTGACTACACTAGTGTATTATAAATATTGGTAGTTATAATTTTGAGTGTTTATTTTCAAAGTATTGGACAAATCACCAGTTAACTTTAAGACATACCATTTCAATATTTGTAGATTGTGAATGCACATAAGCTGGGTATTACATGGTTAAGAAAGGAACAAGAGATAAGAATTGGGGTATGGCCATGCAAAGGGACAGATGGCTAATATAATCAGATTCTGTGAAAAAGCAAAGGAATTAGTGGCAGATATCTGATGGGTAACCAAGAATATTGACTACAGTATATGAAATAACTACTATTGAATTCAAGAGCAAAAAAGTCTCCACTGTTATATGTATTGTTAATGAATTGCTTTAACCTTCCTTTATCTACAAATATAGCATGTGCCAAACACATTATCTTACAGCATGAATATGGATCTGATTGCCACAATGAAAGTTTTGTTTTATTTTTAACGTGACATGACTTTACTAACAGGAATGGATTAGAACAAATTCTCTCACTACTTATCTCTATTTGAACACCTTTGAATATTTATTTGCACAGAATATTGTGATATCAGTTAGTCTTAACATGGAACAACCACATTTGTATAAGCAAGTGCAAATAAATTTTGTGGTGGTGTTAGGTTATAAATTGATCCTGGTATATTTTTAAAATTTTTATAAAAATATAAAATGTGAAAGTTCTCATAGAACACTCTTAGACCTGCTAGAACATTTTCATAAACTGCTAAACACAGTTGGAGCAATAAATTATGGTGAGAGACATATGGAACCACACTCTAGGATTATTATAACAGAGGCAAAAGTAAAAAAGAAATAAAACTGACTAGACAGAGAATGCTCATTCATTGGAGAAGATATGAGTGGGGCTAAACTGAAAGCTTTAGGGGGGAAAAAATAAAGTTGAACAAGACTTTTACAGTTACTCACACTCAAAATGGTATTAACACTGAATCACTGCCTTGCCTAAGATGATACATGCAGCCTATGTAAACAGATATGATACTACTGAGACAGGGACCTTGGGTGTAGTCAGAGTAGGGTGAGGGACTCCAGGAAAAGCAAGGCAGGATATTTACAGTTAGAGCAATGTAACAATGCACAAAGTCCCTATCGAAACTCTTAAGCATTATGCAAAGTCAAGGTTGCACTAATTCTCTAGGGTAAAGATACCAGACTAGGAATATAGACACCTTCAGTGAGATCCAGGAGCTCCTGGCTCAAAAGGCCAGGAGCAACTTGGCCTGGAATGTTTGAGTGTTCCCCAAACAAAGAAGGGTGTCTCAGCACAACCTGTGACTTCACTGTAAACAGCCCTAGCAAACAGACAATACCTCAGTCCACCTTGGGGCCAGGGCAGGTGGTATAAGCTTACACCTTAAGCCTTTTATCAGCTCCCAAAAATCCTCAACTGCCTATAAATCCCCTAGACAACACACCACCCTGGGCACTCTTGTCCCTCCTGGCATGAGCCAGGAGCTCTGTCCTTTCACTGTATCTCTCAATAAAAGCCTCTCCCTGGCTCTCCTACCTTGGGTGTTTGCTAAGTTCGACTCTGCAAACAAGAACCCCGGCATCACTATAATACCTCCTCTCTTACTATACACTTAGGAATAATTATTTTATACTTTCTAAACTTCTGAATGGATTATGTTACTTATAGATGCATTGGAAGATAAAATCTGGCTCAAGAATTAATGGCTTTCTCTTTATAATAAATCAGAAATAACTCACCTAAACCCCTGACTTCAAGTTCATGCATAGTTTCAGGCTAGATAGTAACTGCAAGAGGTGCAGGAAGAGTGAGGCAATGGAGAAACCATACTTTACCTTAGTTCTGTGTCTTCAGCCTTCCTAGCTTTGTGAGTGGTGGCTGGGTGATCACCACTGACTGTGTTAGCTTGGCAGAGCATGCCACCAACCAAACTTGTGCCTCTTTACTCTGAAAGTAGATTAGAAGGATTAAAGTGCTTTGGCTTCAACAGGAGAGGTTTAAAAACACATGTTCTGGATATAAAGGACCAACCTCTTGGTTGCCTTAGGGCTCCTGAGAGTTGGACCAGCTGTTTAACAAGGTCCAAAATAAACAAAGAGTTGTGAGTTGAAAGGGCTAATGTTCCCCAAAAATGGCTCTTGCAACTACAGGTGGTTCAAGCAGAGGGGAAATCTGGACACTTCAATTGACACTGTGCAAACAGATATTTTTAGTAAGAGTCAGTGGAGCCTTACATTTCTGAAGATAATTTTTTACCTTGGCTTTTATATTGGCACCAGGGACTCTGGGCAGTGCCTAGTGGTCAGCCTGGCACAGGGTGTCAGGAGTCCTTCCAGGAACATTCTTACATCCTTGATGAAATACTGCATTTTGTACAAATCATGGTGCTTCCTTGTCAAATCTAAAGCAAAGGCCTGTCACCAAAAGCTCATAAATGCATGAGTATGCACGCAAAAGCACAAGGAGGAGGACTCAGTGTGCCCTTTGTGAGTGGGAAATAAGTCAATGAGCATTTATGAAATGACTGTGTAGAGATTAAGCACTTGGGAAATGCGGGCTGAGGTTACATAGCCAAAACCTACCATTAGAGTTTATGCAATATCCCCTGTGGCTTCATTCACCCACGACTGTATCTGATGCAGACCAATGTGGTAAAGTGTTTTTTACCGCTGCTTCCCCCACTACTGTATTTTAAATGACTTGCAGGCCCTGTACCTTTCAGTTCTGATATGTATCTTAATGGGAATTCACACAGCTTAATCACTATTCACCTTCCTGAAAGTATAATGCCATAAAGGTCCATGATGAAACCAGCCTCCGTCACAGATACTCTGACTGCTGCTGCCTAAGGTAAGTAGTGGTTGCTACAGGTGACCCTGTTCTTTTATATAAGAACAGGAGGCTCTGTTCACAATAGCATGCTTGTGGGTAGCATACAGTTCTCTGAATGACTTGAAATTAATTCCTTAGTCTTTAAAACTGCATTAAGACTGGTATGTTCCAAGTAAAGTGGTTTGGGAGGATTTTATTGCTTTGGTGAGTTTAAAATTAGGAATATAATTTATTGAGCCTATACTTTACTGTTCTCTTGCTTTGAATAGTGGACAGGCAGATTGAGGGCTGACAATCTCATTCATTTGTAATAAACCAGTATTGTAAAATTATATTGGAATGAAACACAGATTTCCTATAGGACTATGCAACTTTAAGCTTTGGCATTACTACTAATTTATCTTCAATATAAAAATGTAAACAAAAGAAATCCTTCCCCCCCCCTTTTTTTTTTGCTTTACATTAGGATAATGAATAAAAATCTATTAACACTAATACCTTCTGGCTTTTATTTCATTTATAATCTAAATGTTCTACCATAGAAACAGATGTACAGATATAAAGATATATTCTAATATACACAGAACCCAGAACAATATTTTTTTCCAAGAATATGTGCTTTTGAAAATAGTTTGTCCCTGAAACATGTATCTAAAAAGCAAGTTATTTTGAGTTAATCAGGTATATTTTGCATTGAAGTCTTCTAAAAATAGATAAATCTATCTAGGCTGAAAGGAGGAAACAAAATCAGGCAGCAAGTTGGTCAAATCACAGTTCAGAGTGGTTGATGGCACATGCTTTGGAGTCGGTTGCATATCAGCGGTGTAACTTTGGAGAACTTAAATTAGCATCTCCAAATTTCAATGTCTTCATCTTTAAAATTAGATAATAATTCTTACTTTATAAGTTTTTATAAAGCTAAAATGAATTTTATAAAGAATAGAGCTCAGAATTTTACGTGTGTAACTCTGGGGAAAAATATTTTCCCAGCCCAGGGCAAATTACCTTTGAAACTGAAATCAGTCAAAGGGAGAAATAAAACGGAAGAAACCCATTTATTGCTTACAAGCAGGCATCCACTTCTGCTTGCCCGTGTAACACGTGACCTGGATGCAGAAAAGGGACCCCAACCAACCTCTCTAGATAAGCCTTAACTCCCCCTTGTAATCACCTATTGATATGGAGATGAACTAAGGCCAGGTGAGAGATTCTGGATATATTGCAATTTTACCCGCAACATGTAATATAATTCTACTAATTAGTACCATTAGATTGACTGTGTTCTGTTCCCTGTGAACTGACGATTAGGGGTAAACTGGTGAGCACAAGCAAGCATAGTCAGTATTTCTTTTTTTTTTTTGTAAAAGCAAACCTCGTGCTAATCTTGTTGGATCCTCCCATCAAATAAGGACATAATCAGTTTCATAATCCCACAAATAAATTGAGAATCATGACTGTGTAAAGTACATGACACTGTAACAGGGAAAGTAAAGAACTGACAATTTCCTTGAGACAGTGATGATTCAACTGAAATATCAAGGAAAGGTTGGAATAAAATAAGTCAAGAAAAAAGAGAAGTATTTCCAGGCAGCCTTTATGAAGTCCTGTAAGATGAGGTCACACCGCTCCCTAGAGGAACTGAAGAAAGGCCATTGTTACAGAACCACTAAGAGAAAGGAAGAACAAAGAGTGAAGGTGAGGCTGCCCTGGAAGGGTTGCTTTTATTACCAAAAGTGTAGAAGAGTTTTAGATAGAGTGGTAACACAAACAAATCTGCATTTGAGTGCAATGGATGCGCCTTGCCCCAGGAAAACCACATTCGTGATCATGGTATCTTCCCTGCCAGATTAGTATAACTGGATAGATTTTGCGATGAGTTACTAATGTTACATGAATTAGTGGTCTGAAAGAATGCACTTTATCTGCAAAATAATGAGTTTAAGAAAATAAACTATAAGACATTTTACATTTCTGCCACCGTAGGCTTCCTCAGAACTTGCATCTAAATTCTTTATTAAGCATTCAAATTTTCATTTATACATCTCGCACAACTCAAAACTGGTGAATTTGTTAAAGGATTTTTGACTGGTGTTGCTATTCAAGCAAAAGAATTGATTCTTCATATCTTACAACTTGATTCTGGTGGATTAAAAGCAATATTGTTATTTTGGCATTGAATAATAATAAGGACCTCAACATGAAGGAGCTTAAGATTTTTATATGACTAAAAAATACTTTAATATAACAAAGAAATTAGGCTTAAAGATAGGTATCAAACCGCATGATAGAAATGTTCTGTTGATCAATCTTAACAAGTGTTCCTTTCAACTATGTGCCATTAACACTCCCAGTATCTTCGAATTTACAAAAAAGTAATGAAGCTTTGCATTTAAAATCTCACATTTTTTATGCTTAGATCAAAACTTAAAAAATACTAAGAACAATAATGAAAATCATGACAAAAGTCAAAACCTGAACTTTTCACTGCAAATCATACCAAGTCCAGTAACCTTAGTTTTAAAGCATACGTATCATGACTATCATGTGCAAGATATTTGGTAGCTGTAAATTTAGGGGTACATTGTCAATCTGGAAGCCACTAAATGCATGTGGCTGTTGAGTATTTGAAGTATGGCTAATCCCAGTGGAGATGTGCTGGAAGTGAATGAGTCACACCAGATTTTGAAGACTTATTATTTAAAAAAAGAACTAATGATTTTTAGTATCTTCCCCAGAATACAGAGAGCAAGGAAGAACATCATTCCCACCTTCATAAAAATAAAGAAATAAATAAATAGCTGGTATAACTTTACACTCATGATTCTTTCATAGTCTATCAGAGAACTGATACAAGCTCCAGAACAACCAACTGTGCCAACACTAATGAGAGATGGGCACCTTCAAGGAGAGAAGAGATGTGGGTGCTCACTCACCAGATGCCACTGGAGACTAATAAGGAGAATCCAGCTCTAATAGTTGACAAGTTGGGGAAGGCCTGAGGAAAATTTACAAGAGAATGTAGAAGCCTTGGGAGCTATAGAAATTGGGGGAATGGTCATCCCTTTTCAGGCTTTTCTCCATGAACCCCAACAGGTAATTAGAGTAAAGATCAGAGAGCCTGAAGAACATGTTGGTTTGGTGCAAACCCAGGAGGAAGGGAATAGCACCTCAGCAGGAATGTAACCTCTTAACAGCCCTTCAGGAATTTTTTGGTCAGCACCAATGACATGATTCTCCCTCCCCGCTAAAAGAAGCTGAGGCAATCTTGATATGACCTCCTGCTCTTCCCCCTAAGAAAGGGTGACCTTGCCTGAAATAATCCTGTCTTTTCCTTTGCTAATTATTTCTTACTCCATATACTGGATACTATGTTAGGAGCTGTTGTCAATTTGGCAAAGCCAGATGTCAGTCATATGCATGCAAAAATTATAATACAGAAATATAAGAGCAAAAGGGATGTTCTGTAAAGTGTTACTGGAGCACCAATGATTCAACGACCAACCACACCTAAGGTTGGGAAAGGTCAGTGAAGACTTCTGGAAAAGAACCAATGTGGTAAACATATTCACAAAGGCAATAGTAGAGATTTATTAAATGACAGGGAAAGGTCATTTTAGATTCCAAAAACAGAGGTATTGGATCAGTTAGAAAACTGAGCTGTTACCACCAGAAAATAGGAGGAAGTAGAACTTAAACAATAAGGGACTTATTTTTTAACATCAGAAGACTAGAAGCAAGGTGTTCCCAGGAATGGTTAATTCAATAGCACATAACTTCATCATATTCTATGTCTTTTCCATCTTTCCATTTTGCCCATTTCAGTAGGTTAACAATGACTTTGAAAGTTACAAGAGAGTGACAATAGCTTAAGATGTCACATGCATGTACATCATCTCCACTGAAACAGGGGACATTTTCTCCTATAGACCACTTCTTATTAATGAAGATATGGTTTCATAAAAGCATCAGATAAACTTTCCCCAATCCCACTGAATAGGAATAACTAACACTCTTATGCCTAAACAATTGTAAGTAAAAGGAATCAAAGTATATGATTTGTTTAGATCAATAGTCAGGCCTAATCTGGCCCATGAACTAAGAGATTTTACAAATGAACTTTTGCAATTAATTTCATAATAGGGAAAACCAACTTTAAACCCCAACTGAGCAAAAAGTTTTCCTCTCAAAAAGGAATTCCATTTTGCTCACTAGATCTATATTTAGTCAATTATTGTGAATGTATTTTGAATTTTGTCAATAAACATTTTTGAAAATTTTCTTTTTCTCTTTTGATGTTAGTACCTATGTAATATACTTGAATTTGCCTCTTTACCCACAAAGCCTCAAATATTTAGTATCTGGCCTTTTATAGAAAGTTTGCTAACCAATCATAAAATTTATCCTTTAAGCAAAGAAGAGTCTCCTCTGACCACATGCTTCCAAAAGGTGAATTCCAGGACAAAAATGATACTCTGCTGGCAAAAGCAGTAAGGCAAAGAGTATAGTTTTTGGAATGGAACCAACTATGTATTCCTAAAGTATGAACCAAGATAACATATATAAAAAAACACTCCTAATTTGGAATGGGTGGAAGATTGTGAAGAAATGAATAGAACACGATGTCTAAAAGGCTGATAGTGATCAGATTAGGAGAGCCATGTATATCATGTTAAATAATTTGTTTTTTAACACCTGTGCTTTTGGTGTTACACCTAAGAATTCATTGCCTAGACCAATGTAATGAAGATTTCCTCCTATGTTTAGTTCAAGGAATTTTATAGTTTCACATCTTTATTTAAGTCTTCAATTCATACTGAGTTTATTTTTCTATATGGTGTAAGTAAAGAGTCCAGTTTCATTCTTTTGCATGCAGACATTCAGTTTTCCCATCACCATTTATTGAAGACACTATCCTTTCCTCATTTTGTATTCTTGTTACCCATGTGAAAAATCAGTTGATAGTATATGCATTTATTTCTGGGCTCTTTTCTGTTCCACTGTCCAATGTTTATGCCAGTATCATGCTATTTTAATTACCGTACCTTTGTAATATATTTTGAAAACTGGAAGGATAATGCCTCCAGTTTTGTTCTTCTCTCTCAAGATTGTTTTAGCTATTCGGGGCTCTTTGTGGTTCCATATGAATTTTAGAGTTGTTTTCTTATTTCTGTAAAAAAAATGTTATTGTAAATGCTATTTGAAAGGCATTGCATTGAATCTGTAGATTTAACACTTGAGGTAGTATGGGCATTTTAACAACAGGACGTTCTTCAGTGCATGAGCATGGAATATTCTTTTATTTATTTGTGCTTTTAATTTTCTTCATAAGTGATTTGTAGTTTCCAGTGTATGTGCTTCATCTCTTTAGTTGTTTATCCCGAAGTATTTTATTCTTTATGATACTATTTTAAATGTAATTTTTCTTAATTTCCTTTTCAAATAGCTAATTATTAGTATATAGAAACACAACCGATTTTTTGTATGTTGATTTTGCATTGTGCAATTTTACTGAATTCACTTATTGGTTCTAACAGTATTTTATGTAGAATTTCTAGAATTCAACAATACCACTTATGTATTTACAACAAATAATTGAAGCCAGTATCTTGAGGAGATATTTGTACTCCTGTGTTCATTGTAGGACTATTCACAATAACCAAGAGATGAAAATGAACTAAATGCTCATTGACAGATAAACAGCTGAAGAAAATGTGGCATATGCATACAATGGAATATTATTTATCCTTTAAAAGGAAGGAAATCCTGCAATATGTGACATGGTTGAATTTAGAAGACATTAGCTAATGGAAATAAACCATCCACTGAAGAGCATTCTATGATTCTGTTTATATAAGGCATCTAAAATAGCCAAACTCAGAAGCAGAGAATATGAGAGGAAGAAGGGAAGTGAAGAGTTGCTATTCAATGACTATAAAGTTTCTGTTTTATAAAATGAACAACTTCTAGAGATCTCTTTTATGACATGCCTATAATTACCAATATTATATTGTGCACTTAAAAATGTGTTAAAAGAACAAGTTAAATGTTATAATTTTAAAAAAAGCAGTTCAGAAAAAGAATGATTTGAATTTTATCCTGAGTAATAGGGAGAAGTTGAAAGATTTCAATACTGGATGGTATGATCAAAGTCTAATTTGATAAACTATTGTTAAAGAACAAAATCCACATGAATAAGTTTTAAAGATCCTACTGGCTTTATTCAGAAATTCATGAATCAAACAAGCACCATCCAATTCAGCAGATAAAAAGGAGTTCCAAAGAACTACATTAAGCAAAAGATTTTTATAGGCAGAAAAGAGCAATAACAAGGAAATAACTGGGCATTTGCTGATTGCCTAAACCAAGGTTATTTCCCTTACATGGAGCAAAGAGAATTCTTGGAGCTGGGTCAAGTAACTTGGGCTGAGCAGGCAAGCACTGATTGGTTGACCTAGGCCTTCTTTTCTTGGGACAGTTGAGCATAGAAACTTGGTTAAGCTTTCACTGGCTGACTTGGGACTTTTGTGAGTGACTCCACCTTGGGCTTAATTTGGTTACTTAGACATTATCATGGCAAAGTATGGAGTATGCACTGGAGTTGGGCAAGGCTGGAAGCAAAGGTGTATTTAGGAAGGAGATTCAGTGCCTGTTGTCAGAGCAAAATCTAGAGCATAGGTGGTACTGATGAAGATAGTTGTAGGAAGGTGTTTTATTGTAGATAATGGGAGATTTCAAGATAACTCTGTGTATTGCTAGGGCTATAGGTTGAATGCCAGTCCTATTAAATGTGATAGTAAATATAACCAAGAAGAAAATTTGTTTAAGGGAAGATAGAGTTTTGAATTTGTTGAGTA